AGTTATATGGAAACATTTTGAGCTTGGTTTGTGGTTTTACATAAAATAGTTTTATCAAAGTGATCGTAATTTACCTAATACTGCCATTCTTTCGATCCAACTAAGGTAGGATCTGAATTTCTTTTAGTATTAGTGGTAAATATACAAATTCGTGCACTGAGGATGGTTGATACGTTGAGAGTTCATCAGGCTTCCACATTATTACATGGAAGAACAATATATAAAAGCTTGATTATTAATGCTAAACCCCTATAACACAGAAAAATAGCCATTCGATAGGTATTTCTTACATTGTGTAGTGAACTTAACTGCGCTTGGTTTAGGAATAGTCTTTGATGAAATTATTCAGATACTTTTGACCATTTTTTAAAGTCTCCACAATCTTGATGTGCATTGAAACTAATTTAATTAGATGTGTAAAAATCAGCATTCGTAAATCAAATTTTTTGAAATGATGATCATGGTACTATTTATTATGTTTTTTGATATTTACAAGTAAAATTCTTTTTAAGGATAGTACATTTTGCATAAGATTCCCCTTGGTATATACCGAGTTGCTTTGAAAATTATGCCTTCTAATCATTTTCATTGTTCATCAAAGTATGGTATTCTTAAATATAGAAAGTTTGAGCTGGGTATGCAGTAAAAGTCATTTTTTAAATTGAAAGAGATAATGTAATTACAATCACATATATTTTTCGGTGGCTTATTTAATAAATATCTTTTGAACTAACTTACATTTGGGAATAAGGGTACCATAAAATGAAAACAAATGCTTTAACTTCTCATCTTCATTAAAATTATACGAAGAATTTATATTTCAATGTCATTTAGTGTAGCATAAACTATAACAGATACTTAAACCTTGATGAGTTGGTAGACATTTTGATGAAACACCTATCCGCAGGCTGGTCTTCAGGGTAGATACGAGTATTAGTGAACCCAAAATTGCCATGATAAGTGCTTGCTATAAGTTTACCCAGAAACATATTAACTGTGATCGAGTGAGTATAGACATCATCTTGGTGTTATTTCAACTTAAACAGGAATCTCATGGTCTTGTATTATAGAGATTAGTACTATTATCAGCTTTGTTTAGGCCTCGTTTTCGCAAATTGATAGAGGCGATAGAGTTCTGAGCCCTCTGTTATAACATTCATGGTGATTTCCAGCATAGGACAGTTGAAGTGTTACACTTTCAGACGTTTCGCCGACATTACTCGTGAGAGACTCCATGTTCTACATAGAGTTATAGCCTATTAGAGTGATAAGTTGTAATTCTCTGTAAAGAATGACGCCTCTCACTGACGATGCCAATTATAATGCCAGCGAAATGTCTGGGAATGTGCCAAGTTATCGATCCAATGATGGATATCCTAATGAATACTGTGACAGAGGACGCAGAACTATGTACGTTCCATAAGGTCTCCCTGTTAATCCGATCTAGTTGTAAAGCGAGGCAAAACCAACACTATACAGCAAGAAGAGAATGCAACCAAAAATGGTCACAAGATCTTGGTCTTCATATCTAGCGTTTGATCTTAACACTGGCATATCTAAGGCTTGAATCCAACCAGAAGGGACTTCTGAGACAGAAATGTTTAAAAACTGTAGATAGGCTTGTGTGAAAACAGCCTTTTGGAGTGTATGGTGCCATGAGCTTTAATGCAAAATCAAGACGTGAGTTTCTGTGAAAATAATGGCGATCACTCTACAAATTACAAAAATAAACTAAAGAATATTAGTAGAAAAGCATTTCACATAGTCGAAAATACATGATTGACAACAAAGTTTACAATCTTAGATATGAAAACCATGTTTGGTTTGCCTTGGGTGTGGTAACAGTGCTCTTTAGCTGCATACTATTGGGTTGACCTTGTCTTTACAGTTTGGAAACTATGTAGAACATAAAAAACTCTGCATCCTCTACTGTAGTTTTCATGACTATTTCCAACATCGGACTATTCACTTAATACATGCCAATAATGGACCCGACAAGATGTCTGGTATTATACAAATTCACTTGTTCGATGTTGGGCAGTAACAGTACTGACAGATGAAACTGGACTTCATACCCTCTTTAAAGTCTTCCTATCCCTTTGTAAAAGGTTCCATTGTTTATTCCTGAGCCATAATCATTAGTAAATTATTAGTCATTATATGTAAAGCGACATAACTTATTAATTTAAAAAAATATTTACCTTTTTTATTTATGTATTTAAATATTTTCATAGAGTAGCTACTAACAATTTTGCCATTCATGTTTATTCTTTGACAACTGAGAAGAAGCAGTAAGGCAGGTATCATTTATTCTATACAATTTATCTTTGAATGATCATTTGCTCACATATAGACTTGATTTAACTTTAATTTACTGTCAAATCGAATCTTTTAATGGGGTTTTTGAAATCAATATTAGTTTTTCATTATAAAGGTTGAACCTGGGAACTAGGATATGTAACATCTAAGTGTAAGTTACAACATATACATTAATGAAGTTATTTAAACTACAAATTGTCTGTATGTACAAATCAGATAAGTTATAAGTCCCTAACCCTAATGAATAGTCTATAGATATACTAAATGCTGCAAAATTCATTTGTTATAGCATAGGCAGCAATTGAGACTTACTATTTATGTATTGGTTCTGAGGCATAGCTGCGGTTCACTCTCAATATATTGAATGGTGAAATGAATAAAAATGAAACATAGGAATTAGTGATGAAAGAAGAAATAAAAGTAATATATGTCAGATCTAGTGTTTTCTGGAAATTTTTATCATGATTGTACATAATGTTAAGTAATCTCCTTGGTAGAAACACGAAGTCGCCGGCTTAGTCTAGCTGACCATTCAGGACCATTTTCGAGTCTTGCAGGTTTTCTGAATAAATAGCTGAACACTAGGGCGGACAGTAGAATGCTGGTAAATGTGACTACTGGGAGCCAAATATGCGTGCATCGAATAGTTTTCTCCTGTTTAAGATTAGTTGGTGATTCATTCTCAAGCCAAATCTATGGAAGAAAATATTCAGATTTATTGATATCGATTGCAGAGAGGAGGTCACTCACTGTGAATATACTAATATGTATGAATAATTATAAGTAATGGATTACTTCATTTGGAGAATAGCATTTTGGTTTTTCGGGCCAACATATCTAGCATAGATTAAATATATAGAATTATGCGATATAATTATTTGGTTTTGTGTAAGATTATATAGAAAATTAAATAGGCCAAAGACGTCTTCCGTAATAGTAAAACTAAGTAATATATTTATAAATTCTGTTAAAGAAAAATATCAATTTCGTTTCTCATATAATGCTCATTGCTAAACGGTCCATGAAAACTGAGAGCCCCTGTGAAGCTTCTATATCCAAGAAGATAAGTTTTAAGCCAGAAAAAAAGGCTATTTTAAAGTTACTTTCAATAGTTTTTGCAAGTTATCTTTAAACGAAATTACAGGATAGTTTTGAAATGTAGAACAAGCCATCGAGAACCAGCCAAGTTTCTGCTATTGCTCGTATAAAATATATGATAAGAAACATATAAAATTTGCAAATTTGACTGTTTACATGAAGGAAATTGTCTAGATAAATCTGATAATATAAAAATAATGACCCAGTGAAAGAAACAAGATTCTAGACTATTCGCAGCATGTATTATGTTTAATAAAGGGGATGTTTATAGTAAATATTTTTGTCGTTGCTTTCTTTCCAGGGCTATAAAATATGCGCTCAAACAAGCTACGTTAAAGGGCAACGGTAATACAGACGGATTAATGGAGATACCACAGTTTAATATAGCTTTAATAAATTTAATGCAAAAAAATACTGCTTCAGGATTAAATAAATCATCGCGTCATATAATTTGGAAAAACACTAGGTAATTCACCCAATTCACCCAATAATGTAGTTCACCTGAAGGTATCTACTTAACGTATCTTTTCAAATGGTCTAAAATATTGTGACTTGTCAGTAGCCTCTTAATTTTAACATAGTAAATAGGGCCTAAATCCCTTTATAGTAGATGTTTCTCATAGTACAACTTGAGAAAGAGAAGAATAGCAATACGAAAGGAGGCTATTGCTGAAAAGAAATATTATAAGTCTATGATTAAAAATGAAATTGTTTCGCTAGCCCTGAGTCGGGTCGTGAACAGTAATATGATATGAACTTCGATTCAAACTTCGGTTTTTATAGTCCAAGGGTAGTATTATCCATATGCAAGTACATCCAATTAATTATCTTAAAATCATTCGTCGCATTAAATATAGATACCAGGACTACTTATAATTACTGCTGTATAATATTCAGAACCTGATTAAACAAAACATGAAAATAAATTTTTGTTTAAAGTTAATTTCGCTTAAAAGTATGAGAAGAAGAGATTTTTAGGCCATTTTCATAAAAAAAGGAGCGTCTGATTGTCTTTGACCCTCTTTCTTGAAAAAACCTTGAACGTCTGTTAGTACACATTCTACTGACCACTGCCCTCTGATTTCAATAGAGACGTAATAAATTTCTGTTTCTCACATGATCAGCATTTTCAGAGTCTGACCTCATTCATATATCAACATCACGTTGAGGAGTCAAAATAATTATTGCTAGCCCTGGTAATGCTTATCATATGAACGAAGAAAGCTCTTCACAGAAACATCCCCGAAGTTTGTGTCCACACAAACGTTCACCTGTTGTAAAAAAGAGCAGGCCATTAGTTTCACCTATAATCCACCCCTACATTTCTTTCTCTGGCATTTCAGAATTATTTATTCCCAGGCCATCAAATACGAACAAATACAAATGCAAACAAATACCCACATCAGTAATATGTGGGTTCAACTATATAATGATGAATTGGATTGAGATATATTTTCTTGTGAGTCAAAAAAAATTGAAGACCTTTTTTTCAGTCCCAAATGTAGCAATCTGAATTTCGTACCGAAGAGAACTCGATAAAATTGAATTTACTGATTTTCACACTGCCATATCTCCATATAACCATGGCAAGACTCGTAAGGCATACTCCGGTCACCTCGACTGGCAGGCCCCATATCAACGAAGGAGACATTGCGCCTAACAGTATCGCTGCCGCCGGGATCAAGGCCATGGCAATGAAATTTCCCGGCCAGACGAGAAGTCCATGGATCCAGGCGGGTTGTATGACGTTTGAAATATCGTCGGTTGATTTGCTTTCAGAAATAGAAGAATAAAGTACCTCTAGAAATCCAGAGTTCAAAATACCAAAAGCGAGGCAGAGGCCTGCGTGCACCTGGTAGACGTGGCTTGATGTACTTACAAGGCCCCTTCGAAACCATTCAGGAAATAGGTGGAGGAAGGTCAACTCTGACAAATGGTAAGCTCGGAGTACCTATGGCAAATATTTGGGTGTAAGGTGAGATGCAAAATTGAGGATCTAATAAAATCCGTGATTTTGGTTAAATAGATAAATCCATCGTGACCCAAACTAAGTAACAGTTTTTTAAGACTAGTGT